CGGCCCCGGCCCCGGCCCCCGGCCCCCGGCCCCCGGCGCGCCAGCGTCTCTGGTTTCCCACTGCCGAGATGGGGGAGGGAAGGCAGGTCTTGAGGGAGAGCGGCAATCGGCGGGTGAGGTCCCCCCGCGCCCGCGAGCCCCCTCGGCCTAACGCCCCACCCCAACACCGGGGAGGCGGGGGGCCACTGCCCATCTCGGGCTGCGTTGGGCTTGCACTTTCCTGATGGCGAGACCCGGGGTTAAGGCGAGAGGGAATGTCTGCCACAGCAGCTCGGTCTACAAGGAAGAGCGAGATGAGCACGCCCTGCTCTGTTAAATATTGCAAGGTGACACAGTATCGCCTCCCACACAAGGATTTTCAAAAGGACTGGCGGAGGGAAACACAGTAAACAAGAGATGCTTTCCCCGATTAAGAAGTTTGGGGAAGAGTGCCCCCCTCCCCCCCCAGGACTCTGCAGACGCAGGGGATTTTCATCTGTGTCTCAACTCCCATCTGCAGCCTGCCACTGAATTAGAACTGAGAGTGTTCAAAAGGCGTTTCCGTAAAACAGAAACTTAATAATGGCGTGGCTCCACTTGCTTGGGTTCATTCATTTTTATTTGTTTTCCTTGTCCCCTCCCCCCGCCCCCGCCTCTTGATGAAACCGGAAAGGGTCCGCGTGGGGAAGAGGGTCAAGGAAAGCAGGGATCCGGCTGGGGAGAGCCGAGAGGGCAGCGAAGCGAGAGAGCTGCAAGGAGAAAGGAAGGACACGAGGGATGGGGAGAGGGCAAGGACCAGAGATCCGAGGGCGGCGGGTGGGAGAGGGTTAAACAGAGCCGGAGACGGGGTCCTCCTCCACAGCCTTGCACACTCCGCTCGCGGGAGGCCAAGCAAGAAAACCCCACTCTAGATGAAAGCCAGGAGGCAACACAGGTAGGGAGACCTGGACTATGGCATCTCTCCCGCCTTTCCTGCCGCGCAAACATCTACACCATGTGTACACACACATACATACATATATAATGTGTTCGATGTTATATAATCCGTGCTAAAGATACATGTGTAGCCGGGGGTCGCACAGGGGCACCCAGACCTACGCGCTTCATACAGCGCGCGTGTCTCGGCGGCTCGCTCTCTGCGGCCCGCGATTCCCGGCTCCATTCAAGCCCAGACCTGGAACACCGACGACATTAAGGCACACCGGGAAGACGCGCAGGGCTCCCGGACACAAGATCACACGAAAGCATCACCTACCAGTTTTCCTGCATCCATTGGATGGCTTCATTCTCGTTGAACTGCTTTTCGAATTCATATTCTTGTAAAGTCAACACTGACATGTTCATTGGGGCTGATCTTCGGAGTCGCTACGTGTTCTCTACACAAAATAAAATAATCTGTAAAGCGCTGGGTTTCGAGTGCTATGCTTCCCCCACCCGCCCCCCAGGTCTTCCCCTCGCCGCTGGGTCGCGGCGGTCGGTCTCTCCCAGCCTCTCAGCTACATCCAGGGCTGAGCATTGCCTGCGTTCGGTTCCCAGCTCCGCGCTCTGGGGCTCTCCTCCTCCCGGCGTCTGCATCCACCGTAGGAGGAAATGAATGCCTTGTGGTCTTAGTGCCCGCACGTTTGTCCATCACCCTTTTTACTTGTCTACAGGGAAATCTCCTCCCCCTCGTGCGATCGGAAAAATTAACCCTTTGCAAGGGAGAGCGAGAGCGCGCGAGACCTCGCCACCCCTGGGGCCAGTTTTGCCTAAGCAAAGGTGACTAGGGGAGTGGAGAAAGGACGAGGAGAGGGAGGAAGTGGCCTCGAGGTCAGCCACAGCCCTCAATCCCGACCTCGTGGGCCGCCAGCGTTGCCTTTGAGTGTAATCTGGGCGTGCGGGGCACAGCCCCGAGACTCGCGGACCCGCGAGCTTGGCGAATGGGCGACGGGAAAATAGTAAAACCTGCCAGCAGTCTTGCAAGAACTCCAGACAAATTTGCTCTGAGATCATACATGAAGGGAACGCGCTTCCCACCTCCTTGCCCCAGCTATATCCTCCTGGTCCTCCACCCCAGAGCTGTGGCTTTGACTCACTTAAACCTGGGGCCCGGCGGCCCGCAGAGCTCCTCAATCACATGCGGACTGGGGATGCTGAGGATGAGGATGGTGGAAAGTCGAGACTGAATAGTAGCCAGAAGAGGGAGATAGGGTAAGTGGAGGGTTTAGGTACGGGGAGGGGTAGAGTTAATGAACTGAGACAAAGGAAGTTAGCAGATAGAAAAACTGGACTAACTGGTCCAATGCAAAAATTTATTTGTATCCACGAGAAATTTCGATTTATGTATTGTACGGGTAGGTGGAACAGAATTGTTTGAAAAGGCTAAATGTAACGTTGACCCTTACTGAACTCCCAGTCTCACAGCAATGTTTTAACTCCAGCTTCTATATACACACCCGTTTTCCTATTCTCAGAGGAAAAAGTATTTTCTATTCTGCCTGTCCCTCTACTCATTCCTCACAAGTTAGGAAAAATGAAATATTAGACATGGAATCATCTAATAATATACAGATGAACTGTAAGCTTAAAATACAATAATAAGGAACCTATGCTTTAAAAATTAGGTGGACATAAGGAGCAGGAACAAAATTCCTTTTCTCCTCTACCTCCGTGATAGTCCAAAGACAGGGTATTTTCATTCAAAGTCAAGTGCCTGGAAACTACTGAAAAGTGGGAACTGGGAGAAACATCTCTGTTTCTGAACCCTTTAAAGAAAGGGTTTAAAAAACCCAGTACAAGATTATATAGAATCAAAGGGCTAGACTGGTTGATGATTAGCAAATTAATTTGTAAGTTGACACTCCCAAGGATTCCATATATAGACTTTTTTAAGCTTTGTCATTCTAGAGGCTTCTGCAACACAAGTCTCTGTGAAGGTAAAACCCAATCCAAAAGACTTGGCCCCACTGGGCTGGAAGATGGGTGTGACCCAAGGAGATAAGGATTTTAGTACAGAACCTGGGCCTGTGAGCAGTCAATAAATATTTGTAAAGTGAATGAATAATTGATTAAAGAAATGAAAGAAAAGAGGGAAGAGAAAAATATCCACCAAATGGTTTACTGTATGTTGCAAGGATAAGTCCTACTTTTCTCTTTAAAGCATTCAATTTTTAAATTCAGTATTCTTACCAGTCATAACATCATTTTTAAACTTGGGAGAAATTCACATTAACTTACTATGTTTCTTATTCAAATAATGTCTGTGATTGCCTGCTTAGTTTTCAAAGATGGATTTGGGGTTATGTTAAAAAAAAACAAATATCTGATTTCTTCTTAGCAGTGTCTAGAGAAAAATTACTCCAAAATGGGAGATATGTTTCTATTTCTTGATCTTCAAAGTGGACAATTACAAAAAAAAAAAAAAAAGAGTAAATGCTTGATAGTACTAAGCACTGTTGAGGGTATTCAGAACAGGCACTGTTGGTGGGAGTGAAAACTGGTGACTATCTGGAAAGCAATTTGGCAGCCTATTTGGTCATTTGAAATCCACTTATCCTTTGACCATTCATTCACCAGATATTCCTGAAGGCTGTGCTCTTCTGACCTCTTGGGACTCCATGTGGAAGAAGAGGGACAAGACTTCTGCTCTTTTGAAACTCACGTTCTATAATAGAGGGTAAGACAAAATGATTTAATAGAAAGTGATGTGTTAAGATTAAACAGCATGAAAGAGTGGGAATGCTCATTTAAACCCTGAAGGCTTCACTGAGAAGGTGACTTTCAGTTGAAACCATAATGACAAAGAGCCAGCCGTCTGTTGCACAGTGTTATAAGAAGCAACAGCTAGTCCAAAGACCCTGAGGTAAGGAATGCAATTGCAGGACTGAGAGCAAAAGGCTAGTGTGTCTCCAGGTCATAGCTGACAGGTTGGAGAGGCAGGCAGGGGCCAGGTCTTCACAGCCTGGTAAAACAAGACAATATATTTGGATTTGCAATGGGGTGGGGGAATATTAAAGGGTTTATAGCTGGGGAATAACATGATAATTCCTAGTAATTCCACTACTGGGAATTTACTCTGTGGATATACTCACAAAAACACCATATATATATATATATATATATATATATATATATATATATATATATATATATATATACACA